TCTTATTATTATTTCAACGAATGTTTGCCGTTTAACTACTTCAGCATACTTTCAGCTACAGAAGCCATTCAAATATTAAAATGTTCAGCTCCTTCAGGACATAGTTGCTATGAAATGTATACTTTTTACAATATTCAGCTTTTTAAACTTCTATTTTTACAATGCAACCCAATGGGCGGAACCTTCAAATCCTCTTTTACCTACACCGTGTTTAAAATGCTACTCCCTCAGTAAATGTTCAGCTACAGACTTCATTCCAACTTTAAAACAATCCCAAGACCTTCAGCTATTACACTTGTATTCAGAGTTTTGATATCCTTTACAGTTTTTGAATTATCAACGTTTAAGTTTCATTTTCAGGCCGTTTTAGATTTTATATGGCCCAATAGTGATCTGATTGACAAAAAGTCCACCAAGCTTCCCCATAGACTCCCATGTTACATTTTTCCGGATCTTTCTTCAGACCAGAAAGAAGTAAACTTTAGACAAACTGCTGCCATCTCCACATTTTACACACAAAAAACACACAGATTTGTTCATCAGTGCTCCCAGATGCTCTCCGTCCGGTGGCACTCGATGACGTAGTATCCTTGAAATAGTGGCTCTGGAGCAGCTTTCCTCGATATTGAGAAACACCCACAGACACAGCTACAGACACACAAGGATAGCTTTGTATTTCTCCCCCTCTCATCCCCCCAACAACACACCCCTTCAAAAATAAAAGCCCTGTAAGGTAAGGTACGTTTATTTATATAGCACATTTCAGACACAGAGGCAGAGTCAAAGTGCTTTACATGATCATTAACACATGATAGTAGAACAGAGAGGAACACAAGAAATAAACATAATGGAATAACAGTTTCATAAAAACAATGCATTAATGAGACATAAAATAGTTTAAAAACGACATTGTAAACACGGTAAGTGCTAAAACAAGTTAAAAGGCTTCTGGGTAAGCAGCTGTAAAAAGTAGTGTTTTTAGCCTCGACTTAAAAGAACTCAGCGTTGGTGAAGACCTCAGGTTTTATGGAATTTTATTCCATTCGTGGGGAGCATAAAAACTAAAAGCAGCTTTTGCGTGTTTGGTTCTGAGCCGGGGAACAATGAGTAAGCTCGCCCCCGATGATCTCAGAGCTCTGGGGGGCTCGTAACGGGGCAACATGTCAGACATATATTGGGGTCCCAAACCGCGCTCAGGCCCTTGGTACACCGGCGAGCTGCGGAGAATGAAGACAGCTGGGCGTGTCCTTGAGCGGCGGCTCAAGGCCTCAGGACTCACTGTTCACCGGTTAGCCCACCGTGAACACCAGAAGGCCTACGCACAGTCCCTCAGAGATGCACGGTCCCAGTACTACAACTCCATCATCAACAACAGTACTGGAAACTCCAAGCAACTCTTCTCCACCATAAACCACCTCCTCAAACCCCAAAGTCCTCTACACTCCGACTCCACTGAGAAGCAGTGTTGCAACTTCGCCGCCTTCTTCACTAACAAAGTTGATACTATCCGCTCCCTCATCTCTAGCCCCTCTGCACCTCCAGTTCCAACTGCTGACCCACAGCCTGGGACAACCCAGCCTCTTCGCTGTTTCACGGACATCTCTCAGCGAGAGGTTGAGGGCATCATTAGGAGATGAAGCCCTCCACCTGTATCCTGGACCCCCTTCCGTCAGCTCTGGTGAAATCGTACATCTGTACCATGAGCCCCATGATCACTAAGATCGTAAACCTCTCTCTCCAGGCTGGCCATGTCTCCTCTGCCCTGAAAATCGCTGTCATCATACCTTGTCTCAAAAAACCCTCCCTTGACCCGGGAGTCCTGGCCAACTACAGACCCATTTCCAACCTTCCTTTTCTATCAAAGGTGCTGGAAAAACTAGTTGCTGCTCAGCTCCAGGACCACCTAAACTCCAACAACCTATTTGAGAAGTTCCAGTCTGGTTTCCGCTCAGGCCACAGCACAGAAACTGCCCTGGTCAGGGTCACCAACGACCTGCTGATGACGGCTGATGCTGGCTCTCCCTCTCTCCTCATCCTCCTCGATCTCACTGCAGCTTTCGACACCGTCGATCACGGCATCCTCCTCCATCGTCTGCACTCCACCATCGGACTCTCTGACTCTCCCCTTGACTGGTTCAGATCATACCTCACCGGGAGAACAGAGTACGTCTCCTTGGGCGAGGCACAGTCGGGTACCCACGACGTCACCTGTGGTGTCCCTCAAGGATCAGTTCTCGGCCCCACCCTTTTCACACTCTACATGCTCCCCCTTGGCTCTATCATCAGCCGACATGGAGTATCATTCCATTGTTACGCTGATGACACCCAACTGTACCTCAGGATCAACCCTACCTCCTCTGCAGCCCTGCCTTCACCCACACTCACTGCCTGCTTGGAGGAGATACAGGTGTGGATGAAGCAAAACTTCCTGAAACTCAACAGCTCCAAGACCGAAGCCATTATAGTTGGCACCCCACACCAGGTTCGGTCATCCACCATCACCACCATCACCTTCTCCGGCCAGGACATTACCCTCTCCTCAATAGTCACCAACCTGCGTGTGAAAATGGACGCCCATCTGACTTTTGAGACTAACATTAAACAGCTGTGCAAGAACTCCTTTTATCACCTCAGGAACATCGCCAAACTCCGCCCCACACTCACTCTGTCTGACGCCGAAAAGCTGGTCCACGCCTTTGTCTCCTCCAGGCTGGACTACTGCAATGCACTCCTCATCGGGATCCCTAACAAAAGCATCCAGAAGCTGCAATACATTCAGAACAGCGCTGCTAGGATCCTGATGAGGGTGCGCAAATATGATCACATCATCCCCATCCTTAAAGCACTACACTGGCTCCCTGTGGAACTGAGGATCGAGTTCAAGGTCTCCGTCCTCACCCACCAGTGTATCCATGGAACTGCCCCTCCCTACCTCAAGGAACTCCTCACCCCCCATACCTCCTTGCGGACCACCCGCTCCAGCAACTCCAACTTCCTCAAACCCCCCAGGACTAGGCTCCGTACTATGGGAGACCGGGCCTTCTGCTCGGCTGCCCCCAGTCTGTGGAATGCTCTCCCCGACCACATGAGAGCACCACAGACGGTGGAGACTTTTAAAAAAGGCCTCAAAACCCATCTTTTCAATAGAGCCTTTCCCTAGACCTTTTATTTATTACCACCCTTTTATTTTATTTTATTTGTATTGTTTGTTTTTTATTGCTTTTTATTAATTCTACCGTGTTGTGTAATGTTTTTATACTGTTCATGCTCACTGCTTGTAGCACTTCGGGATTTGAAGTCAAATATGAAGTGCTTTATAAATGAAACCCATTATTATTATTATTATTATTATTATTATTATTTAATGCTATATAAGTTAACAATATAATTTTAAAATCGATGATGAAACTACTGGTAGCCAGTGCAGAGACCTGAGTACTGGGGTGATGTGTTCTACCCTTTTTGTTTTGGTCAGGACTCTGGCAGCGGCGTTCTGGATTAGTTGTAGTTTTCTAACCGATTTTTTACAGAGACCTATAAATACACTATTACAGTAATCAAGCCTGCTAAAAACAAAGGCGTGAACTAGTTTTTCAAGTTCTTGTTGAGACATGAATGTTCTAAGTCTGGCTATGTTTTTCAGGTGATTTAGTAATTTTGTTGATATGGGATTTGAAATTGAGGTCGGGGTCCAGAACTACGCCTAGATTTCTCACCTTTTCCGATGCATTTAGCAGTAGGGCTTCTAGTTTAGCCTGTTCCTCCCTTTTGGCACCAAAGATAATTGTCTCTGTTTTGTTTTTGTTTAATTGTAGGAAATTGTTGCTCATCCAGCTACTGATTTGTTCCATGCAGTTGGTGAGGGATTGTAATGGTCCGTAATCGCCAGGCTTTATTGTAATGTATAACTGAGTGTCATCTGCATAATTGTGGTACGACATTTTGTTAACTTTTAGGATCTGGGCTGTAGTTTTCCTGTAGCCTTACAGGAAGTGCTGGAAGAGGGATTATTTTTCTAAATAAAAGCCCCCCCCACACATACACACTACTACTACTACTACTTCTACTACTCATACAACTACTACTACTACTACTACTACTACTACTACTACTACTACTACTACTACTACTACTACTACTACTCTAATACTACTATTACAACTACAGCTACTACTACTACTAATACTACTACTACTACAGCTAATACTACTACTGCTACTACTAGAACAGCTACCATTACTGCTACTATTACCACCATCACTACTACTACTACTACTACTACTACTACTACTACTACTGTACTAATACTTTTACTTACAGTATAATACTACTACGTACATTTGATATCTAACTCCTTCAGCCTAATTTCACCTACAAAAACCATTCAACTATAACATTATTCAGCTATTTCAGGACATTGAGGCTATACATGTTGTTGTTTATTAAGCTTCATCACTATTTTTCCTACTCTTCCACTTTAACATTTCACTGTTAAGTTTTCCAACAAATGTATTTGAGCTTTAACCATTTTGATTCAAATCATTTCACCTTTCTGCATTTCTCCGCTAAGTTCAGCAACACACTTACTTGGTTTCTGCTGCTAAAAGCAGCTACAGAGACCATTCAACTATTAAAATATTCAGCTTTTTCTGCATTTTCAGCTAAGTTCAGCAACAAATGTACGCAGCTTACAGCATTTGCACGCATTTCCAGTAGGAAATGCATTTTCTATTTGTATCTCACACATTATCGTGTCTTTTCATTTTTCTGTAATTTTATTGTTTACAATGTTGTTGTTTGTTTTTAATCTGTAAAGCCCACTGGGACAAACGTGTTTTGTGATAATGGGCTTTGATTTAATTTTGATTAAAGCATGTAGACATATAATATTTGGAGCTTTTAGTATTGCTTTCATTGCAGCAGACATCCATTCTTTATGTACCCCATATGCATCCTCTAAACTGTGTAGCTTCCTCTGGTTCTATTCCTTCTTGCCTCAGACACCATGCTGAAACACCTGCAGTCTGCAGATGCCTGTCGGAGCTTCTCTGAGTTTCGCCAGGAGGCCAGTATGTTGCACTCTCTGCTGCATCCCTGCATCGTCTCTCTGCTGGGCATCAGCATCCACCCCCTGTGCTTCGCATTGCAGTTAGCCCCCCTGGGCAGCCTGAACACTGTGCTGGAGGAGAAGCGCAAAGGCATGTAGAAGCAACTGCATCATGTGATTATTATCTCTCTCTATTGATCTTATAACCTGTTGCTATGTTAGTGGAACATTATAGTTATGTTTTCTCCTTGTAGGCTCCAGATACATGCCCCTCGGTCACATGCTAACCTTTAGAGTAGCCTATCAGATTGCCACAGGACTGGCATACCTTCACAGGAAGAGCATCATCTTCTGTGACCTCAAATCTGACAACATCCTGGTGTGGTCTCTGGAGGTCTGTGAATGGGTTACATACATGTTATTTTGGTTACATGTCTTCATTATGTATTAACATTATTTATGTGTTAAGATAGTCACAGCTTATTTTACTTGGTGTGCTTGCTGTCAGTGTCCAACAGAGATTATCAAGACAGGGACAGGCATTCAAAATGCTTTCATTAGAAACTTGAATCATATGACCAATTTCTGTTTTCTTAGAAAACAAACAGTTGTTTGTGTATCTTCTTCCAGGTTCAAGATCCGGTTAACATTAAACTTTCTGACTATGGCATTTCTCGACAAACCTTCCATGAGGGAGCCTTGGGGGTCGAGGGCACACCGGGTTACCAGGCTCCTGAGATCCGACCGGGCATCGTATACGATGAGAAGGTACTGAACTTAATCTGCTTCATTAGATGTGTGAAGCAGTACAGTAGGAAAAGGAACAGTATGGCTGCTGATGTCTGCCAAAACAAAACGAGAAGACTCATGTAAGGTAGATACTATAGACAGGGGTGCACATAACGCAGGTACGCATGTGTGGCAACATCTGAAAAGCGTAACATCACTTGTGTCACTGCGCGCCTTTGCGTACCTGATAGGTCATCAAAACAGAACACGTATTTCGTCTACACGTGATTCTTGTCAACACTCAGTGCAGTAAACTATTAGACATGTCCAGAGAACTAAAATACATTAAGCAGCCACTTTGGCGTTTTGCTCCCTGCAAAAAATCTTCGGACTTTCTATGACTGATTGAACTGAGAGCTGGCCGAGCCGCAGGCCATAACCGACGGACCTGTGAAGCTTTGCAGGAGGCAGAGGCTTAGATCACTGGACGACAGAGTTGGTGCCGTTTGCACAGACAGGGCTGCTGTTAACGTCGGTATGAACAACATAATTGTGCCAAAACTACGTCAACTGGCTGCGTACGGAGACTCCCCTCCTGTGCACATTCTGGTCCCCGCGCGCACACTGGAGAACTGCGACAAATCAGCTAATCACAACGTTCACGTTCTGTGGTCAAGCTGCTGCAGTTTTATTTACAACAAGGTAGAGCAAAACCTCTCTGAAGAACCAGCACCTTATCGTGGTGGAGAAGTTTGTGTGACCCACGCACACACTGGAGAACTGCGCAAAATCAGCTGTTCACAACGATCACGCTCTGTGGTCAAGCTGCTGCAGTTTTATTTACAACAAGGTCGAGAAAAACACACAGCTGCAAACTTACATAGCTTGTGAATTTACTCCAGGTGGAACTAAAGTCTGATTTAAGAGTTTATTATATTTCACATCATTAATCAAAATCTGTAAAGTAACTAAAGGTATTAAATAAATGTACACCATTTACCTCTGAACTGTAGTGGAGTAGAAGTACAAAGTAGCATCAAATAGAAATACTCAAGTAAAATACAAGTATCTCAAAAAGTACAGTACTTCAATATAAGTGTACTTAGTTACTTCCCACATCTGAAATCAGATATGACTTGAAGTCATGTGATCATTTCTTAGTATTTGTTCTATCTCACACAGGCTCCACCCTCTACTGGACTCTATGGGTTCTACTCTCATCAATGATACGCGAGCGTTCACACACTGAAGTTGTATGAACGTAGCCGGACAATCAGGGCGAGCCTACCTGAATGCGCGCGCAGGCTCACAGTATATAAGGCAGCTACACCTCCTGACTGTCATCCTTTTCTCTTCAGCAAGCGGGACAACACCTGAGAAAAGCATTCAAAACAAGTAAAAAGTATCTTACCTCCAGGCAATTTAACTGCAAGAAATCCGTGCCGGTCCCTTAAGCCCGGCTTAATAGCGGGCGCCGATCCCCACCACTGGTTCGAGTGCCTGGGACCAGACCACAACGAAGACGAGCTTGAGGTGGTGGACGTGGGAGACCAGGATATGGATGAGGCGACGCCACCAACATTCGCCATCCCAGCCGTGCGGGTTATGGCTCTGTTTGCTGAGGAGGAAGAAGATGATTTCGCCTCATCGGTGTCTGACACTTCGGGTCCGGAATCTGCGGAAGCCACCACACATAATAATAATAAATTATATTTACATAGCGCTTTTCTCAAACTCAAAGACGCTTTACAGTCGGGGGGAGGGTATACAAACAAGGACAGGCAAAAACAAACAAAAACAATAAAACAAATCAAAACAAAAAATAATAATAAATTAATAAAATAAAAGAGGAGTGAATAACAATAGTCAAGGCGGGAGGAGATGAAGGCTTGAATGAGTCGCTCAGCTGCAGGGCGGGTGAGAAAGGGACGGAGTTTGGCAATATTGCGGAGGTGGAAAAATTAGATTTTAACAACTTGGTGGATGGATGTGGGGCTCGGGGGAGAGGGTGGGGTCAAATATTACTCCAAGGTTGCATGCCTGGGTGGATGGGGAAACAGGGGTGCCATCGATGGTGAGTGTCAGGTTGGGGGTTTTGCTGAGGGTGGATTTGGAGCCGATGAGGAGGAGTTCAGTTTTATTGCTGTTGAGTTTGAGGAAGTTGTGTTGCATCCAGGATTTTATTGTAGTCAGACAGGAGTCGATGTGGGGGGGGGGGGGTGGGGGTTGTGGGGGATCTGGTGCTGAGGTAAATCTGTGTGTCGTCAGCGTAACAGTGAAAGTCCAGGTTTTATTGGCGGAGAATCTGACCAAGGGGGAGGATGTAGATGATGAAGAGGAGGGGGCCGAGTACTGAGCCTTGGGGAACACCTTGTCTGACTGAAGCTGTGGCAGAGGAGTGGTTGTTGAGAGAGATGAAGTGGAATCTGTCGGAGAGGTAGTACTGGAGCCACCTGAGTGCAGTACCTTCGATACCGATATCCTGGAGTCGGGTGAGCAGGATGTTGTGTCTCACGGTATCGAAGGCTGCACTCTGGTCGAGGAGGATGAGGATGTTGAGGGAACCGGTGTCAGCAGAGGTGAGGAGGTCATTGAGGACTTTGCTGAGTGCAGTTTCTGTGCTGTGGTGAGGACGAAATCCAGACTGAAGGGGTTAAAAAGGGTGATTTGTTTGGAGATGGCGGTGGAGATGATGCGTTCTATTGTTTTTGAGAGAAACGGGAGGTTGGAGATGAGGCGGTAATTACTGAGGGAGGAGGGATCCAGACCGGGTTTCTTGAGGATGGGAGCGACAGCAGCAATTTTGAAGGCAGAGGGAACGTTTCCTTGGGACAGGGAGGAGTTGAAGAGGTTGACAAGGTAGGGGCAGAGGACGGGGAGGCAGGACTTCAGTAGAGGGGTGGGTAGAGGGTCAAGGGAGCAGGTTGTGGGTTTGGAGGAGCTGATCAGTTGGAGGATTCCAGGGGGGGTAACCAAAGTCAACTGGGAGAGTTGAACATTGCTCAACTTTTGAAGCGAGCAACGCGAGCAAAGCGACGTCACCCCATTTTAAGTGAACGGGCAGAAGCATTGAAGCTTCAACGCATGCCGCCGTGTGGACGGGCTGTGACTCACCTGTTGGCCTGTGTATCTGTCAAAAATAGCAAATCATTATTACATTTTGAATTTCTACAGTTAATAAAATATACTATGAATATAATCTCAGGATCCTCCATATTGCCTTGGAATTGTTTGGGACAAGTTTATTCGCATAACATGTTTTTGTTTTCCTTAGTGCAGAGTTCATATTTGCCTCCCTTTTATTTTTCCATATCCCAATTTTTTTATATGGTGTTTTTGTTTTCCCCAATTCAATACGATAGTATTACCCCCAAAACTCACACAGAACAGAAACCCATGGGTCAGTGAGGATTGTTTTTCGTTTCAGGAACCTAACTCTGATCCTGACCTTGATGTGTCTGTTTTGTCTCTTCTCATCACTGCACACAGGTGGACATGTTCTCCTATGGTATGGTGCTGTATGAGCTGCTGTCTGGGCAGAGGCCACTGCTGGGACACCACCAGCTTCAGATCGCAAAGAAGCTCTCCAAAGGCATCCGGCCGCTGCTGGGCAGCCCAGAGGAGGTCCAGTTCTGCTGCCTCCACAGCCTGCTGACTGAGTGCTGGGACACCAAGCCTGAGAAGGTGCGTCTCCCAGCTTCTTTATTTGTATTGATTTATTATTGATTTTGAATTGATTTATCAAAAACTCACTTGTTTTCCCGTTGCTCTGCTCTTTATGAAATGGATATTACCAACATAATAAGAAAGTCTATTCCACCCTCACACAGACCCAGGGTAAGGGTCAGAGGTTAAAACAAAACCTGTCATTTTTGCAGGTGGACTCTTATGGGGTATCATGTTCTCTTTAAATGGTACACGCTCCCAGTTAACGCTCACGTGTGTGTGTGTGTGTGTGTGTGTGTGTGTGTGTGTGTGTGTGTGTGTGTGTGTGTGTGTGTGTGTGTGTGTGTGTGTGTGTGTGTGTGTGTGTGTGTGTGTGTGTGTGTGTGTGTGTGTGTGTGTGTGTGTGTGTGTGTGTGTGTGTGTGTGTGTGTGTGTGTTTGTGTGTGTATATGTATATATGTATATATATATATATAGAGGCCGGTGGCCCTGCAGTGTGTGAAGCGGATGCAGGAGCCCAGCTTCCCCTGCCTCCGGTACCTCCTGCTGACCTGCAGCCACTCGCAGCTCTTCCTCTCACCGCTGCAGGGACACAGCGCTGTGTTCTGGGATGGAGACAAGGACAGCAGGTGTGTTTCAGACCTTTAGTCGGATAACTTCTTCCTTCAATGCTGTGCGCATACAGTACATAACAACTGTTATGTATTATCCATATCCTTTTTAAAATGCAACATCTTGTAACAAAAGAATGTGGGATTTTGTCACCTAACGATGTCAGAAAGAGAAAGTAGACAAATGAATAATCGTAATTTATGAAGCCCCTTTTATTCACAGAATGCCTAAACACAAACACCCAAAACACATGTTCAAAAATCATATGCATCCATAGAAAAATAGATAATTTAGTTATAAGTTGCTAAGCCGGATTTATCCATATTCTTAATGTGATATTAAATGCAGCACAGACAACATGGGCTTATATATTTCATAAACACATTGAAAGCTGTAGCCTACAGTAGGCTATAGTCATATATAATGGAAATCCAGCTTCTGCCGGCTTGATTTTTTTCTATTCTCTTTGACTTGTTTTTGTCACGTTTTAATTTTCTTTTTAAGCCAAAACTGTTTTCACACAGTCTGGTTGAATACATTTCATGTGTACAATACATTTACCTAAAAAAGTACTGTGAAGTAACCAAAATGAACAAAGTCTTTTACAAACTCTGCAGCCGAATGTTGCTGGATAGTGTTAATAGCTTGTGGGTATGCTTCAAACACTAAGCCCCCCTTGTAAGTGTAATTTTGGTATTGGGCTATATAAATACAATTTGATTGATTGTCCACTCACGTTATAGCTGCGCTTCGGTTTTTACGCAGTTTTTTCTTTAAACCCTGCACACACGAAACTAACTCACAAGATCGTTATTTTCTGATCTGATCACTGCTCAGGTTGGCAGGGGCATTTACACACCAACTCTGTGTATTGCTGTGTGTGTTGTGCAGGAGCTACAGTGTGGTGAATGTGGAGAAGGGGCAGATGGAAGTGAAGAGGATGAGCTGTGCAGGCAGCAGGGTCAGCTGTCAGATGAAGATGGGTAACATTCTATGGATGGCCACTGAGGTACACACCACCTTTTTCTGCTTTATTTCTCTTTATATTTCACAGTACTAGTGACCTCGCCATGCTCCTGGGGGGGGGACTCTCTCTCAATGTTTGGATGAACCACAATGACATGGCTTCTCAGGATCTGTAACACTGACCCCCAAAACACACCAGGAGCGTCTGCGCCGCGTTACGTTGCGGCTGCGCCACGCTGCGACCTCCTCCTGCGTCAACACACACCAGACGCGTTTCAAAACGTTGCGGAAGCGGAGCGTCGTGTGTGCAGCCTCGCAGTTGTTGTTGATTTTGGAATATTTCCTAGACATTTGTACTTCTACAAGTAAGTAGGCTATACGTAGTTAAATGGTTTATGTTTGTGTCTGTTTAAATCGTGTTTATTGTTGTTATTTCCTATTTTGTTGTGTTGTAGACTACAGACACAGTTAATAATAATTGTAATATTCCAGTTATAAACGACATGAATCAAAGATGTGTTGCTGTATTTTAGTGGTAAAAAAATATGCATTCATCATCATAATTATTCTATATATATATCATTTACAGTGCCTGTAAACCGGAGGAGAACGCTGGCATGTATTCTCCTACTTGAAAGACTACGTGGGGATGGGGGGAGGAGTTTACCTTACGGCTGCGCCGTGGCAAAAATAGGATTCATCCTAATTTTAGAGAAGCGCTGCGCCGAGCCGCTTCTGGGACGCGTCTGAGCCGTAACACGGCGCGTGTGGTGTCATAGCACCCATTGACTAGAGTGGCCGCGATCCTTACGACCGCCGCGGCGCGGCCGTAACGCGACGCAGACGCTCCTGGTGTGTTTTGGGGGTGAGACACTCTGGAACCAGAGTGCTCCGCCTGGTGCTTAAGTCAAACATCTTTTGAGAGTTTGTTTTCTTGTGAATGGTTTTTAACGAAAGAGGCCCTAATGCTTTTTAGTGTTTGCGATCAAAGAGTCATCGTGTTCTCTCAATCATTTACAACATAGATTAAAATGCTTTCAACCATGCGGGTCATGAATGTGTCAGTGCAGCGAATATTTGTGAACCATAACGGCCCGTCCACACAGCGGCGTGCGTTGAAGCTTCCAACGCTTCTGCCCATTCACTTTGAATGGGGTGACGTCACTTTTAGCCGAACTGCATTTTGGGAAGCGACGTGGAGCGTTGCTGGCTTCAAAAGTTGAGCAATGTTCAACTTTTGACGCCTCGACGGAGGCGTCAGCCAATGAAATCCCGTTTATGCAAATCTGCCAGTACAAGCGCTAGCCAATCAAACCGCGTGTATGCTGGGAGAGACTACGCAGGTCATTTCCTCATATTCCAAAAAATGGAGGGAAAATTCATTATAGCGGTAGTGAATCACCCGGTGCTGTATGATCAGTCTCTGTTCATCTACCGGGATACAAACCGGAGGAGCGAGGCATGGAGGGAGGTGGCAGAGACAGTGGATGAAACTGGTAGGTTTTCGCCTGTATGGGGATTTTATATCCAGTTTACTTCGTTTTAACATTGCTATTGCTTTGTATGTCGGGGGCGGGAGATTCATGTGATTGGTTGTTGGTCGCGTTGCTCGCAAAAAATCCCCAAGCTTCAGATACGCCCACCTCCAAGCGTCAACGCACGCTGCTGTGTGGACGCTCCGTAAGTGTGGGTAGTAGATTTCTAAACTTGCTTACAGGCAGCTGTATCTCCCAGCTTAAGACTTTATGCTAAGCTAGTCCAACCAGCTGTATTTTGAACACAAAGATAGATATTCATTTGAACATCTTAAAGTCTTGAAAGTATGTTTATTATTGTGTAACAGGAGCAGGAGATTTTCATCTACAGTCTGAAGGATATGTGTCCGCTCAGCCAGCCCCAGAAACACTTTTCCTGTCCAGCCATCATCACCTGCCTGCTCCCTGTTCCAGCCCAAGAACAGGTCACACGCATGCATGCACGCACGCACACAAATAATGAAATGGGCGTGTGACGTGCACATCTTTCATGTTATAGAAATAAGCCGCTTATAAATGTTCATATTACCAGATAACGTCAAATTATCTTCAGGCTAACACTGCCACAGTTTGGTTCTACAGCGCGTCATGAATAGTCCAAAGAGCTGCACAGCCTGTAAAACGTGATGATTATTAAAATGTGAACGTCCTGGTCTGTTCAGAGTCTGGCCAGAGTGTTTGCGGGGATGTCTGACGGCCTGGTGGCAGTGTACAGCCTGCTGGAGGACCTCCCTCTGGAGGGGGAGACCTACCTGTGCTCACACACCCTCAACAGGACGCTGTTCGCCCTGAAGGACTCAGACCCCAGGCAGAGGCCCTACCCAGTCAGCAGCATGGTGCTGGTCAGTAGGGGATCCCAGGTGGGTGCAGGGAACTTCTGAGAAGTCACTAAAAGTTGGCTTCAAAATAAACACTCTCTCCTGAGGATCTCTCCGTCTCCAACACTGTCCCTGTCCGTTGTCCCTCAGTTATGGCTCTCCAATGGTCCAGGCGTGCTGGTCATTGACTGTCTGAGTCTTCAGGCTGTTCGAAGGCTCGATCCCTACAGCCCGCCGTCCTCCATTGTATCCATGACAACTAGCTTCAGCCTATGGGGAGAGGAGGCGGTGTGGACACTGGACGACCACGCCAACACGCTGCTGCTCTACCACGCCACCTCCTACCAGCTCTGTGCCCACTACAGGTGAGGATTGCTCTGCTGAAGATTCATTTTTATATTGACAGTACTGTTAATGCAGGGGCGGATCTACAGGGGGGCAAAGGGCGGCAGATGCCCCCCACTGTAGAGCCTTGCCCCCCCAGCTGCCCCCCTAACTTTTGTGTCCCTAAAACTGTACTTGTAGAAACAAACCTACACTATGTCCACAAGCTTATCAAGCAATGAAACAAGCAGTACATTCATTAAAAGTGAATCATTTTAAATATCATCTTAGGCCCGTTAAAAACGCAGCTACGGCCCTGCATTAAACTGTGGAGCAACGTTCACACAGACCGCGGCTCACACAGCTGCAGAGAGACCGAGCTGTCCCAGCACCTGAAGGTGGATCAGCTTCCCCTGGGAGCATCTCCACTTCGACTAGTTTTGTTTTTACTAAAGACGAGAGCTCGAAACTAAATATTAATAAAACGTTCCTGTTTGAATCGATAACGTTTAACAGACGGTCGCTGTTTGGGGTACTTTTCCCACTTTAGTTCCGATATAGTTCCGAAATGTTGCGTTCACACCAAAACAATCCGGAACTAGAAATGAGTTAATCAGAACCTTTTTACCCCCTTTTCCGTCCTTGCTAGAGAGCAGGTACTTTCATGGGAGAAAAAGCTTCCTATTTCTGCTCCGTATACCTCGAGATTTGCGCATTAACAGTGTTCAGTCCTTCTGTCGGTGGAAATCTTTAAGCTTCTCTCTGACTCGTTCGGTGCGACCCCGGTCCGCTCTGCTCCAATGGTCTCCTTGAGCGAGTTTCTGCTCCCAGTCCGGACTCGTCGGCCGCGGCAGGTCCACAGAGAAGCCTCTTGTCCTCATATCCTCCGCTGCTTCTGTTGCGGTAGTGTGGAGACGGGGTCCGTTTTCCCAATGGATCCTGATTTTCGCTGGGTATGGCGACTGCAAACGTATTTGTTTCTCTTTAAGAATCTTCTTTATGTTTTTATATTCCTTAACTTTATTATTTATTTCGGTAGGAAGGTCGTGTGCAAACGCAACAAGTTTTCCCTTACAAACAATCTTCTTAGACCAGGCTGCTTTGAGTAACTTGTCTTTATTGTCATATCTTTGGAAATTAACCAGGATTGATCTTGAGACGGTTTCGTCTTGAGGCTTAGGGCCGAGTGACCGATGAGCCCGCTGAATTTGTAGATCGGTGTTGCTGTCGAGGGCCAGCTGTGTCAGACCCGGCGGCAGACATACGTCTCTGGGCGGGCATTTGATTTACCAGGGCGGTCCCACCCCGAAACTTACATTTCCCGGGAAATCTCGAGATTTGTCAAGGGGAGGGGGGGAGGGTTAGGTTGCCATAAGGCTGTTGACGGTCTTATTATAGGCTACATTCATTGGTTGGTTTTGTGGCACATTTGTAACGCTGTGCCAACTTGGGCAAGCGCGCAGGCAAACTTGAGCGCACACAGGGTGGAGAGGTGGAGTAAGGTTGAGCGATGGAGAGAAAGGGAGAGAGAGAGAGATTGAGCGAGGCAGAGAGCATGTACAGGTCTGCTTGCGCACAGAGCAGGAGTTTGTGAGAGAGCCGGCCTGAGAGTCAATTTCTCTTAAAAATATAATTGATTGCCAGCCTCCCTTGTCCCTGGCTGGCTTGCTAGCTCGTTGGTAACGTAACTGATGTCTTCTCTAATGTGACTGCATCTGGCGCTGAGTTGCCATATTCCTTTCATGAACCACTTCTTGATATCCATTGTTGCAGATAAATATAAATGATAATAGCCAAACTAACCTAGCAAGAGTAAACTGACAGGCTGCTGTGCCGCATCTCACTCAAAAACCCACACGACTCAACCCAGCGAAAAACCAGTCTCGTGCGCAGCCTTTCATTCAGAATTTCATTCAGAATTTCATAGCAAAATAAAAAAAATGCTATTAAACTAATCTTTCAACATAGTTTAAAACAAAGATAAATATTAGGACAAAGCCCTACAAATAACAACAATAAACATAATCAGTGTATAATGTGCATAATCCAGAGTATCCAGAGTATTTTTGTTGGGTAATCTATGGTAGGGCTAACCCATACAGTGGTGGGGCTCAAGTCAGTATTTGCAATGTAATTACATACACGCTCCCCTTGACAGTGAAACGCCATGCGTGAGGTTTAGATTATTTCCCTGTCTCAATCCAAATTGAACTGTATGAGATAAAAAGGCACATTTGTCTTGTAGTAAATCAAAAGGGCGACCTGGAGCCAATCCTGCAATTTCCCCACAGGTGAAAGAGTTGACATGCTGAAAACCCAACCCCTGCAGGAGATTTTTTGAAATACTAACATAAAATACACATTCTGGTACTCTCTTGAGAAGAAAAATAAATAAATCTATTACTACACGACATATTTAAAAAAATGAATGCCATTTTAGGTTTTTTGTTACTTTTTTCTGAAAGCTGAACCTGCTGCCCCTCACAGAGAGAAGAGGGAAGAGGCTGTGAATGACTTTACATTGTGGATAAGGGTGGATAGCCCCCATTGTTCTGTGTGTCAAAATGAAAGACAGCCCACACACCTATCAATCATCAAACCTTGGGGTCTTATTTCATTATGTGTTGATTTCTATCAACACGTAATGTTGTATCGATGTATATAGAGATGTACTACAGCAAAAGTATTCTCCGTCGGGACTTCCTGCAACAACACCACGTCGTTATCGTGATTCTGATTGGCCAGAAGACATTATCAAAGATGTTCTATTGAGAAGATGATCACTACGTGACAAAAGTTTTCAAACCGTTTCTTGTCTTCGGTATTTACTGCTGTCTGTGCAATTTACTCTGCGCGAGTTGGCGGACTTTATTTTGCTTACTTTAAAATCATTTTTCATGGTGGGGCTAAGCCATTTCTTGGTATGGCTGTAGCCTACCCCAGTATACCTTGGTGCCGCCACTGAAGATAATAATAAAACAATTAAAATGTTGTATTCAGCCCTGATTAAAACAGCGGGCCCAAATCCTGGATGGGCGGGCCCGGCCCCATGGGGCCCGCCCATGACGCCGGGTCTGAGCTGTGTCTTGAGAAATGAGTCAATATACGTTAGCATAGAGCTTCCTTCTGTGCCTTCCTTAATACCGTAGATCTTCCTTCTAGGTCCGTAACCTTTGCTTGAAGCAGCCTCTGTTGTTTAAGAGAAAAGAGCAGAGCGTCTCTCAGGTCCGTGGCCATGGTCTCCGTTCCCTCCACCCGTTGCTCTGCTTCAGTTAGCCTCGTGCTAACATTGCGGACATCACCAACGACCCTTTGTAATTTTGTATTCATCTCCGTCTTGAAAAGGTTGAATTCCTGTTTCATGTCTTGTTCTTAAAGTCTGTTAGTTCCTGTTTTAGCGCAGTTTTTAAGTCTCTTATATCAACAAACTCTCACTCCCTAAACGTCCGGGGGCGACGCTTGGTCAGGGACCCCGTGGCGTGCAGTTGGGACGCGCCGAGGCTCATTCAGCTTCATAAATGGACGCAAAGAGCTTTCAACTGATTGCAATGTATTCCCATCGGCGGCGTTAATTGACACTCAGGGAAGCACCGCATCCGTTTATGTCGGCAGCTCTTAAAGGCAATGTGAGCGTCCATTCCCATTGGATAACGGAGAATTGTACACCCGGAAGTAAGTATTCTCCTTACTGTCGATTGATTTGACAGTGATCTATCTCCACTACTCAACTCAAAAACACCAGATTACCATTGTTAATTAAACAACATTGATAGGTTTAAATTGTGTACAATGCTTTTGTGTTTTTCCCCTTCAATTCTGAGAAACAACTTGTTTTCTCTGAAATGTGGAGCGCCAAAGAGACTACACTACCCACAATCCCCAGCTATTGTTGTGACGACGCCTGTCCGCTTTGACAAACCTCGTGATAAGTCAACAAGCTCTGTGATTGGATGAAACATAAATTCATACAAAAAAAGTCCAACCCTGTCCCCTAAAAATTACGTTCCCACAGAACTAAACCGCATTCTCAATTACGTTTAGCTAGAAACGGATTTTCTCCCACGTTTAAATACGGCAGATAGCTTGCACATCTTCCGGCGCAAACTGAAAACTCATCTCTTTCGACTCCACTTCGAGCGTTAGAACGATTAACGAAGCACTTTTATACCAATAAAGGACTGGATTACCTAAAGCCAGTTGAGTAGCACTTGAAATGTTTGGCTCTATGAAACCTGATATACTTATATGATTCTGTTTTCTTCAAGGTTGTGTCTTCCTGGTCGAATGTACTTATTGTAAGTCGCTTTGGACAAAAGCGTCAGCTAAATGCAATGTAATGTAATGTAATGTAATGTTTATTATGAACGTATCTTAAATACGTTTATTTTCTACATATCTTTGCCATGTATTGTCTTGCTTATAATAATGATAATAGTCATTTATAAATATCATTTTAGAGCACACATTTGAAATCGAGAATCGGGCTCGATATATGGTTGAATTAAAATCACTAGGCGAGGCTGTAATTTCGCCAGCTGTTACTCTCATGAGCAAGGCAGAAAATAATAGTTTTAACATGCCAAAAAGCTGTGGTGTCGTTTATTGCACCTCAAACATTAAAACAAATCCAGAGTTACGTGTTTCTGTACTTCCTCTAAGAAGAAAGGACAGTAAAAGAAGATCTCTGTGGCTTCAGGCTTGACCGCCGTTCAAATGACAGCGTTGGTTTCCCCAAAAGTGGGCAGGGCTGTAAAGTGACGTAAATTTTACTCTCATCTATTATTCAAAACCATTCTATTTATTCTAACGTAAATTACATGCCAGTGTTTTATCTTTTTATTACTTATATTTTTATACTTTATTTGCTATGAGTTATATCTGAAGCAAATTATGTTTCTGAAGATGTGTCAATTCCACCCTTCATTGGATGTTTTAGCCGCAATGCACGTTTTTAAAGATATTACTGATTTTCTTTGAATATAACAATGTACATACTAAGTTGAGAGAATAGTCAGGGGATTTGGGTGATGGGAGACACATCTATGGAATCACAATTTCAATAGCTTACCATTAAATGACGGATATACCTTTCTGTCTGTGATGTTTTACAAATCAGATATTAATGTGTAGAAGTAAAACATGAGAAATAGTATAGCAATATCCTGTACAATTATGTAAAAACATGAATAAATCTTGTATAATCTTCAGATGTTATACATACATAAGTGTCCTACACTAATAATACAAAGTTATTATTAGTATGCTGTGTGTACCTTGTGTGCACCGCCTAGTGGTTAAAGCACGTTATTGAATTATTTTGGTTGAATAATGTTATTTTTGTTGAATAATGTTATTTGATGAAAAAAATATTAAGAGTAGGCCTACATACTTTCATAGGGGGAAAGTAGAAGGTCAATGTTACGTATTTCTCATAGTCTTATATTTCAACAGTTTTACGACAAACTGTGACTTTTTGACATGGAAATAATTTTTTAAGATTGACAAACATCATATGTGTAATTCATGGCACAATTCAAACGGGTTCGAAAGATACGTTTTCTCTCTCCATTGACTTCAATACATTATTTTTCAGAAATAAGGTCCCATGGGACGGAAGTAGATGGGCGTGACTTCGCCACTCTATAGCCAGCATGTGTAGTTCTGGGGGGGCGTTCGAGTCCAGTTTCGAATAGTCTGCCGTGGTTTCGTTCCATTTCAAAGAGCTTGACGCTCGGCGTAACCTTGGCGCACTGCCACTCCAACATCCAATCCCAGAGCTTGAAGATTAATCACAGGGTTTGTCGCAAAGCGGACAGGCGTAGTCACAACCAGTGGCGAGCCGTCAGGGCCCTCTAGGCCGAGGGCCTAAGATATTCTACAAAAATAATATTTAAAAACATTAAAAATATATATTTTTTTTTAAATATTTTTTTTAATATTTTTTTTTTGTTATATTTTTCATTAGTTTTACCAACATAACTTGATTTAATTGTATTTAAAATAACATTTCCAAAGAAATAAATCCTTCGAATCTGCCTATTCAGTTTCTGTTGGAATGTGAAGGGTTAAATGAAAGAAGCTCGTCTCTGCGGTCCAGCTATGAATTCACAGAGGGCCCCGCTATAGTAACTGAACGAGAGAGTAATGTCAAATGACAGTACAATTGACCAATCATATCTTCCCTCTAAATGGGTGTTATCATCTTTAGTGTTATTATCGCGGACTTTATGACAAGTTCCGCCCGCTGTGAAACTTTTCTTGTTTCCATAGAAACAACAACTTCCTGTCAACAGCGTTAACTCGCCTTCAAAATAAAAGCATGCCAAATTACACTTAAGACATACAACTGCAACGAAAGTAACAAACACAATGCAATATCCTTTTCAATTTCAAAGAACACAAATAGGGTTATTTACAGGTGTTGTTTTGTGTGGTAGAGGGTCGCTTTCATTGATGCGTTTTGCACCCCGGGCCATTGTTTTGATATTCCGCTGAAGTATACGCTGTGACGTAATAACTCGAGGGAAGGGGGGGGGGGGGGTCAGAGGGCCTAGGTATAAAAGTCACGGCTCGCCACTGGTCACAACAATAGCTGGGGATTGTGGGTAGTGTAGTCTCTTTGGCGCTCCACATTTCAGAGAAAACAAGTTGTTTCTCAGAATTGAAGGGGAAAAACACAAAAGCATTGTACACAATTTAAACCTATCAATGTCGTTTAATTAACAAAGGTAATCTGGTGTTTTTGAGTTGATGAGTAGTGGAGATATCACTGTCAAATCAATCGACAGTAAGGAGAATACTTACTTCCGGGTGTATAATTCTCCGTTATCCAATGGGAATGGACGCTCACATTGCCTTTAAGAGCTGCCGACATAAATGGGTGCGGTGCTTCCATGAGCGTCAAATACCGCCGTTGATGGGAATACATTGCAATCAGTTGAAAGCTCTTTGCATCCGTTTATGAAGCTGAAGGAACCTCGGCATGTCCCAACTGCACGCCACGGTCACCCTGACCAAGCGTCGCTCCTGGACATTTAGGGAGTGAGAGTGTGTTGCTTATATCCCTGCCCAAGTCTTGGATAGCTTCGGCCGTGGAAATGTCTTCCTCCTCACTACCCGCATCCGTTTCCGCGTTTTTCTTGTCTTTTCCCTCGTCGTAGTTTTTTTGTTTTCCCCAGTGGTTTCTTGCCTTTAACCCCACTCATCCTTTTGGTGTCTTGTATTAAAAAATATCGTGTTTTTAAGGGGTTTTAAACTCAAATTGACTGGGAGAGTTTTCTATCTATGCCACCATCTGGAAAGGCTCACCGGAAGTCTAGTTAAGGGCGTTTTATATATAGCTCTTGAGGTCGAATTATGTGATGCTCCCCTGCACAGCCACACCGAGCCCCCCCACATATGAAATTCCAATGTAACCCCTGGATATGAGAATACAATATCTACATAACTTTTCCAAGTGTATTGACTACTTTGTTTCCACAATCAACATTTTTATTACACGTATTTTGTACACAAACTTCCTACAGCAACTATAATGCTCATTTGTTAACACGTAATTTCTCATTGTTTTGATAAAGCCAGTCGATTTTTACATATTTTCACTGTCACACAGAGATATTTAGGTTAGGATAATGAAGACGCCGGTTTTGTTTCTATGTGACATGAAGACACATTGTTTGTTGATAATGTTTAAAGAACAGCCTGTGTGTTGTTACCTGTAGCTGTAGCTCCTGGTGTATAACAGCAGCAAGGGAGCTGTTCCTGCCCGGGGGAAGCATCAAAGTTTCATGTGAGATGTGAGTGGCTGTGTTTGAGACCCTATTCTGGTTTCAGCTGCGGAGACAGCCATCCTCTTCGAGACGTCTTCTCTGTGCAGCGTCCTGCAGCGGTTACCACGGTGACAACCACTGAATTCAAAGCCACGGCCAAAGAAAATATGCTGAAAAGGACTGATGGAGAAGTGACACTGATGTACAGTGAGGAGGCCGGCACTCAGATCCTCCAGCAGCAGGATTCACTGACCGACTACAATCCCCTCCAATCCACTCATCAGGACCGGCAGCAGGACCGGCAGCAGGACCAGCAGCAGGACCAGCAGCAGGTCCAGGAACAGCAGCAGGACTCTGCAGAGAGCGTGAGGCCCTCAGAGCCCCGGCTGCAGGCCTTCACCCTGCTGGAAGTGAGCCGAACTCTGTGGATCCCCAGGTACGGAAAAGCCAGTCAACACAGCACATAGACATTAGCTGGTGGAGTGAATATGATGGGTCTTCAACATTCCCAAAATCAAAACTTGCTAAACAAGTCCCAGAATACATACCTTTTATGTAACTATACAGTACGTCCTGCAAAATTACATATTATACATACAAAAATTTACACACAAAATCTAACACACAATGTTGATATTATTGTATGTTCTGTAAATATGTACGTATATTTAGGGCCTTTCCTTCACTTTCAGTTCTGCACCATTAGAACTCGGGGCTAGGTAACCACACCAATACTAAAATAATTCAAATTGTAAATGTATGGTCACAGCAGCATCACAAACTGTGACTGGAATACATCATTGAAACATAAATGACTTATGCTACTTCTTAACTTGTGTATCACAGATGTTTATGCTGTTGTGTGTGTGTGTGTGTGTGTGTGTGTGTGTGTGTGTGTGTGTGTGTGTGTGTGTGTGTGTGTGTGTGTGTGTGTGTGTGTGTGTGTGTGTGTGTGTGTGTGTGTGTGTGTGTGTGTGTGTGTGTGTGTGTGTGTGTGTGTGTGTGTGTGTGTGTGTGTGTGTGTGTGTGTGTGTGTAGGCGTGGAGGTGATGTAATGGTCATTGAACTGCAGTCTCATGGTGATGAGCTGAGAGGGCGGGTCACTGCTGTCCTTAGCCCCCCCGGACGTTCTTCTCTGGGGTAAGATCATTTCCTGTTCATGGTTCCATGGCCCGTTTAGAAGCCAGTGCCTGATTGCGATATTAATTGTGATATTACCTGTCTATTACTTATACAGCCTGTAGAAACGCACGGTGTTTGCCTTTAAACTGTGGCCAGCTGAAATCCGCTCCAAATAAATGATGACACAACTTCTGTAGCTATCTACCAGCAATCATTTTTCACATTAAGGCTACATGCCTTTATCCCTCTTTCATCACACTGTTCAGCACACATTACTCCAGATAATCTAATATCATACCAACAGATGAATTTGAACGAGAGGTCAGGCGATCAAAATGTTAATGTCCTAGTTTGTCGGGCCCTCAAAGTCCACGCCTTCAACACATTGGTGTAACACTAGAATATCACTAGTTAATCTCTAAGAACTAAAATAAGAGAAGATGGACCTTTATTAATCCCCATGGGGAAATTCAGGAGTTTAAAGTAGCAACAGTGAGAGTGAAAAACAGGACAGTACAGATGCACACAAATGATATAAGTAATTATTAAAGAGCTGCAGAGTCAAAGCAATTAGTGAATAATAATTACACCATACGTCTGCCAGGTTAATGTTTTGCGACATGGAGTGTAGGAGCCAACATGTTGATTTATTATTTTTGTTTATTTAATCGTTTAATTATGTAATGGAGTAGGTAATTGATTGGTGTCAGTTGATAGTGATCAGCACACGCGGTTGGGCGGAGCGGCTGATTGGCGCTGCGATTGCCTCAGCTGGTTAAAAGAGTCCTGCTGATTATACTCTGTGTTCTTTCTTGGTTGTGAAGCCACACGGTTTTTTGACCGCTGCACTGCAGAGAAGTTACGTTTTTTCATTTTATGTGACGAAACTGTTTCAACATCGTCCGGTAAGATACTTTAATTTGCGTTTAAAGAAGAGAACGGACAGTGAAGAAAAGTAAACGATAACATGGAAATAAATGTACCAAAAACAAACAATATATCTGTGAGTGATGTGTGAGCATGTCAGCCAGGCGCTAAACCAAAGAACAGAAAGGAGTGAAAAGAAGTGGGAAAAGATTGCTCTTTTATGGAGTTTTAAATGATCTGTAATGCATTTTTAAGATGAGTATGATTTTGATTGTTGGCCTTGAATCTTGTTATTGTTTATACAGTCTGACTTCAGTGACTATGTTAATGTCATTGATGTAATACGAGAGAAATGTCATCAGATATTGTACATTTATGGGGACCTATGAATCAGGTGACACTATTAGTCTGACAGTGAATTACCAGCTTTAAGCAGGAAATAGTAGGCTAAAGGCTAGAGGACAAGCACATCACTGCAGCGGTCAGTACATGCTGCTGAACCACAGCTGATCACTGTAGGCAAGGTCACTGTGGAGAAGAGTACAGTTGGAGAAGTCGTGTTGCAATTCAATCTGACTTTGCAACATTCAAAGATTTATTGTCACAGGTGTAGTTATGCAATTCATTAAAAACGTAGGTCACAGGTTCCTCAACAGTGCAATTACAAGACACTCATTATCATTACTGTTATTGGTCTTATGGCCCTGAGTCTAGTGTTTTTTTTTTTCCTGATGCTGCGTTACCGCCTGCCAGACGGCAGCAGTTTGCCGAAGTGATGAGGGTCTTTGATAATCCTGTGGGCTTTCTTCCTGAGCCGCTGGGAGTAGAGGTCCTCCATGAATGGCAGCTCCGTCCTGGTGATGTGCTGTGCAGTTTACACCACCTTCTGTAGAGTCTTAAAGGTCCCATGTCATGGCCATTTCTACTGATCATAATTCCATTGTTGAGGTCTACTAGAATAGATTTACATTGTTCAATGTTCCAAACTCACATTGGTTTCTCATACAGCATCTCTGTATAGTATGTGTATTCACTCTCTGTCCTAAACGGCTTGTTCGAGCCCCCCCCCCCCCCCTCCCTGTGAGCCCACTGTGCTCTGATTGGTCGCGACATTGAGAGGCTCGTTGTTGCTCGCAGCTGCTGCGAGGAGCAGACAGGCTTCAGTGTCGGCGATACAGCGAGAACAAGCGAAACTCATCCTGAGCACACACAAACACTCACAGCCGAAGTAAAAACAATAAGTGTGGCTTGATATTGAGTAAGAAGAAGGTTTATAACGCTGTGAGAATGGGTCTGCGGAGAGCATTTCTCCGCGATCCCAATGTAGCAGCCCGAAAAACGTTTACCCATTTAAACAGTCGTGGTAGATATCTTGTTTGTTTTAAACATCATTATGAAGCCGACAATTGAGCGGTCCGACCAAGCAAGGAGGCAGAGGCAGAACGTCCAAATATAACCCAGTGTGGGCATTTATTAAATCATAAATATATGACACAGCCTCAATCTGCTGCCCACGTGAACAGTCACCAGCCACCACAAGGATCTCACACACACACTACCAGCCTCAAAACAGACAGGGAAACAGAGCCTAAATACACACACACACTAATCAGCAATTAGACGCAAGTGGGGGGGAGGAGACAACACAGGGCACCAGGTGCACACAATCAACAGCAACAGACATGGGGAAAGGGGAACACTTTTCAACATAAAACTAGCAAACAGAGAAAGACGACCTAAAACACAGACGGATGCACACACTACATACATTTCGCCACCAACAAAGCTACACAATTTGTAACGGAGGCCGAGATCTATGGCCCCAGAGATCACCTCCGTTACAATCATAAATACACAAACAACAATGCATACTTACAGGTTGTGTACCCGAATCTCCCGCTGGTCCAAACAAAGTAGGAACAGCAACGTTCTTCAGTGCCCTACGCTGTACATATCTGGCATGAATTGCTGAAACGTTTGGGAAGCTTTGTTTCGTGAAAGGCTGGCAGAGGGTGTGGCCTCTGGGTATCCCCACGTCACAGTACCCAGGAAGTAAACAATGGAAAATGAGAAATCTCCAACGAGGCGTTTTGTGGAGGTATTTTCTGTGTTAGAGTTTTACTCGCTACAGGGTGTACTTTGAGGGTTTGTGACTCTGCAGACCGTTTACATGCAGAAAAAGCTTCTTAACACACAAGGGGACGGGTAATAACCGGAAAAGCATGACATGGGACCTTTAATGTTGAGGGTGGTTCCACTGCCGTACCAGACCGTGATGCAGCAGGTCAGGATCCTCTCTATGGTGCACCTGTAGAAGGTCAGGATACTCTCTATGGTGCACCTATAGAAGGTCAGGATCCTCTCTATGGTGCACCTGTAGGAGGTCAGGATCCTCTCTATGGTGCACCTGTAGGAGGTCAGGATCCTCTCTATGGTGCACCTGTAGAAGGTCAGGATGCTCTCTATGGTGCACCTGTAGAAGGTCAGGATCCTCTCTATGGTGCACCTGTAGGAGGTCAGGATCCTCTCTATGGTGCACCTGTAGAAGGTCAGGATCCTCTCTATGGTGCACCTGTAGGAGGTCAGGATCCTCTCTATGGTGCACCTGTAGAAGGTCAGGATCCTCTCTATGGTGCACCTGTAGAAGGTCAGGATACTCTCTATGGTGCACCTGTAGAAGGTCAGGATCCTCTCTATGGTGCACCTGTAGAAGGTCAGGATCCTCTCTATGGTGCACCTGTAGAAGGTCAGGATACTCTCTATGGTGCACCTGTAGAAGGTCAGGATCCTCTCTATGGTGCACCTGTAGAAGGTCAGGATGCTCTCTATGGTGCACCTGTAGAAGGTCAGGATGCTCTCTATGGTGCACCTGTAGAAGTTGCAGAGTATCCTGGAGTCCATGTTGAACCTCCTCAGCCTTCGGAGGAAGAAGAGCCGCTGTCAAGCTTTCTTGGTGATGGTGGTGGTGTGAAGAGTCCATGTCAGATCCTCAGTGAAGAGTCCATGTCCTCAGTGATGAGTCCATGTCAGGTCCTCAGTGATGTGGACACAGAGGAACCTGAAGCTGCTGACTCTCTCCACCGTAGTCCCATTGATGGCGATGGGGGCGTGTCCCTCTCCCTGCTGCTTCCTGTAATCCACAATCAGCTCCTTGGTTTTGCTGACATTGAGATGGAGGTTGTTATCCTGGCACCAAGATGTCAGGGTTTCAAGCAAGTAAATACGCACACAAATATTCCGATTTATAAAACACTGCGTACGCACTTCCTACGCCGGTTTCCCTTTATAAATCACAATCAACTCGAAATGCGGCGCAGCTTTTGCGGGCTTCACGTAACGCCCATATTTGCCTATAAATAGTCAAAGAAACGCCCAGTATTAATATTCATTTAGACTGACTGCAGGAAATGCCGACAGAACAGCAAAAAAAGACATTTCACACCGAGTCAGATTTGGGTTATTTTGGGGAGGAGGAGACAAATCATATTGTTTGGATCCCTCCGGAGTGGAGTCATACGCACAGAATAACTCAGATGCAACCTAATTTTCTTCCTTTTTAGACATTATAGTAAACCAAGTGCAATCATGCTGGGTTTGCACATGTTCAAACAGTTGGGACTTTGTTAACAAAAAAATGTTCTATTTATTTGGTGGTACAGCGTGGAACTAAAGCTAATTTCAGTAGAAAATAAAACCCTGCCCTAAAGTCAGAAGGCATGAAGTAGAATAGAAAGACACTTCCTGTGTGACAGTGGCGGTTCTAGACCAATTTGAATGGGGGGGGCCACTGAGGGGCCAGTTATTTTCTGAGGGGAGCACAATAAATGCAGGACGAAAAAGAGAACTAGACAGTATGAAGTAATTGCGCATAAGAAAACAATGCAATACAGTTCTTGGTATTTGTTTCAGTACACTTATTTATTTCAGATAGATCTTATAGTTATTACTGTTAGCTTCAGCTTAGGTTATCGTGCAATGTTTGCACTAACACCATATTTATATAGAAATAAAAGCAATGAACAGTTACATCTCTACTTTACATAAGGGTGTCTGCACAATCTCACATTACAGCAACAAAATCCTGCGGTTTTTGGCAAACCGAGTACCAGAAAATATACATTTTAAAAAAAAAACAAAAAAAAAACGTTTCATTGTTAGGGGGGGTCAGAGGTCAGTGTTAGGGGGGCACTGCCCCCCCCCCCCTAGAACCGCCCCTGCTGTGTGAATGGAGACAGCATGTGATCCTCAGAGTCTGCTGCAGCTTCATCACTGAAAAGAAACAGCAAGCTGTTTATGTAATGCATGTCAAACTGCTGCTGGGATCACATGTTGCTGTGTGCTCGCTGAGCAATCGTTGAGTTGAGGGAAATAGTCAATAGGCAAGGCAAGGCAAGTTTATTTATAGAGCACCTTTCCGCACAGGGCAACCCAAAGTGCTTTACAAAATAAGATAAAAGACATTTAAGAACAATATACAGAACAATATGTTTTTGCACTCGGCCTGTTAAAGTTCACGTCTCAGCGAAAGTGAACTTTGAAGGCAGCACAGATATCAGTTAAAGTGTACACATACAGACACATGTCTGAAATAAATCTGTGGCATATTGACCACATAATGTTTATCATGTTACAATGCAAACTGGTGCTTTATGGACCTCATTGAACACAGTCCTGGTTAAGCTGTTGTAGCATGCATGAGCAGTCTGAAGGTGGAGTTCAACGTGGAGTAAAGATGTGAGCGACATAGCGGTATCCGTCTCCTTAATACACCACAGAAAACTGGTGACGAGGATAAAACTAACGTTTCCGTGCGGGGAAGGAGAGGCACCCGGTGTCGGTACTAGTGAGTACAATGCCCCTGTTTGGAAGAATTGACGAGTTTAGGCCGTAAAATGAGCAATGGTCGGCGTACATTGAAAGGCTCGACCAGTTCTATGAGGCTAATGATATTAGCGAAGAAAAGCACGTAGCCACGTTGCTAAGTGTAACGAGCGCATCTACGTATGGTCTTTTAAGATACCTGGTGCAGCCTGATAAGCCAAAGGATAAAACGTTCGACCAGATTGTGGATATTCTAAAGAGACATTTTGAGCCAAAGCCTTTATTGGTGACGGAAAGGTTCCGTTTCTACCGGTGCAACCAGAAAGCCATCCAACCGGTAGCACCTTAAGTAGCAGAGTTAAAGCAATGCGCACCTAACTGTGAGTTTGGCGTGAATCTTGACTCATCACTGCGGGATCGGTTCGTCAGTGAAGTACGGAACGAAGCATGCCAGAGGAGACTAATGTCAGAAAATGATCTCACTTTCGCCAAGGCTTTTGAGATTTCGCTCAACATGGAGACGACCGACAGGGACGTACGTCAGTTGAGAGGAATGGAGAATGACAGCGGCAGAGCGGCAGTGATTAAACAAGGAAACAAGAACTGCTTCATGTGCAAACTAAAAAACACAATGCAAGTGAGTGCCATTTCAAAGAGACTAAATGCCATAACTGCAAAGTAAGCACACTAAGTATATCGAAGCTGAAGAAGAAACAGAGTTTGGGGTGTTTAGTATTCTGACTGTCACAAGTGAAGATGATGACCTGTATAAAGAAACCTTTCTAGTAGCTGATGTTACTTTAGAGATGGAAGTATACACTGGGGCTGCTAGCAGTGTTATGTCACAGAGGACATACAAAGAGAATGTCTTACATCTGTCACCGCAGAAAGCTAAATTCAACCTTAAAGCTTATAATGGAGGTCAGATCCCTGTACTTGGTCACATCACAACAAAGGTGGTCTATGAGGGTAAGACAGTGGATTTGCCATTGTTAATAGTTAAGGAATATGGATCAACACCATGGCAGAAATTGGCTACTCAGGTGAAACTGGCAGCAGATTAATAATCTGAATGAAAACAAGTGTCTGTCACTTATTGAAGTGCTAGAAAAATATGCAGAAGTGTTCAAAGACGTCTTAAAGATGTCAAAGCCTCAATCATAGTGAAACCAGATGTAACTCCAACGTTTTGTAAACACAGACTCCTTCCATTCACTATGAAAGACAGAGTAGAGAAAGAGCTCAGGAGGTTAGAAGAAGCTAACATAATATCTCCAGTTAAGTTATGGGCAGCTCCCATATTGCCAGTGCAGAAAAGAGACTTCGCCTATGTGGAGATTATAAGGTGTCAGCAAATCAGGCAGTTGAGACAGAGACTTACCCCTTACCACGTTTAGAGGAGCTGTTAGCAACACTTAGTGGAGGCAAGGTTTTCTCTAGGATAGATTTAGCTGTAGCTTACCAGCAGGTTTTGCTAGATGAAGAGTCTAAGAAGTACACCACCATTAACACACTGTTTGTGTATAACAGCCTTCCATTTGGCATTAGCTCTGCACCCTCCATCTTCCAACGGATTATGGAAAACCTGATGAAAGACTTACCAGTCGTAGTTTTTCTTGATGACATGCTCCTTATGGGACGCTCGGAGGAATAACATCTCCGCAACTTGCAGAAGGTCCTGCAACGCCTTCAAGAAAATGGACTACGAGTGAAACGCTCCAAATGTGAGTTTGGCAAAGCTTACATAGAGTACCTGGGCCATGTTCAATCAATCAATCAATGTTTATTTATATAGCCCAATATCACAAATGTTACATTTGTCTCAGTGGACTTCACATTTTGTACAGAATATCAGTATGACAATACGACACCCTCTGTCCTTAGACCCTCACATCGTACAAGGAAAAACTTCTGGAGAAAACCCACAGTTTAAAGGGAAAAATGGGAGAAACCTCAGGGAGAGCAACAGAGGAGGGATCCCTCTCCCAGGACGGCAAATACGTCTTACCTTTGCTGTTTTCTGATCAAAAGTTGTGTTCAGGGCATTAAAACGCATATAAAAGCTGCTGAAGGTTAATCTAATGTCTCTGTGTCACTTTGAATTGATTACCGATAATCCATCATTACATTCATGACAATAACCGTATTTTTCATATAGAGTGTAACGGAGCTTCCGGTTTTGGGCAAGCTACGTGCGCATCATTCTAACTTACCAATGGTAATGTTTAGCACAGGGGTAGCCAACACGGTGCCCGCGGGCACTCAGTCGCCCGCAGGGGCAACGTGAGTTGCCCGCTGGTCATGTTCTAAAAATATCTCGCCAAGCAAATCCAAAATGTATAAAATACACAAAACAAAAAAGGAAATGTAATTAAAAGAATCTACCCTATGCATAAACGACACATAAATCATAGCGAACTCTATCTACTTACTACAACTCTATATCTAACGCCCCTCCTCCCCCACCCCACAATGAATATCGACCAATCACGTTCTTGCTTGATTTGCGGGACCAGCGTTGCAGTCGGGAAGAAAAGCAATGTGGCACCTCCCCGCTGATCTTCCTTCTGGCAGAATCTACACAACACATCAGCCCCATTGAACAGCCTATCATGCAGCCTATACAGCACATGAGGGGCAGAGTTTTACTGTGTGTTGTAACTTGCATATATGTTTATTGCACTTGACGCACACACACGCATGGCGTAATCTCCACTGGGGACAGGGGGGAGACATGTCCCCCGCACTTTTCGAAATCGCGTTTGTGTCCCCCCACTTTACAAATATGTTTATTATTTTTTAACGCAAGCTGTCCTCGCCACGGAGGAGCACACAGTCTCTGTGAGCGAGCGATACAGAGGGAGAGAGAGAGAGCGAGCGAGGGAGGGAGAGAGAGAGAGCGAGAGAGCACACTTTTATCTATGTAATATAGATAAAGTAAGAAATCATTCCAATGTGTACTAGGACAGTACAAAAAACAGTTTAAAGGGGAATGATTAGTAAAATATGCATAAATAAAAAGAAAGAATGCTAACTACTAGGTAACATAAGATAAGAATAAACAAGTTTAAACGATGTGTTATTGGTTGTGATGATATTCTAAAGATGATTGGAGTATTGAAAAGTATACATCTCCCTTTCATCTGAGAGTTGAGAGCTGTATCCATACATTCATTTTGTGCTCAAAGTGCACCAGATTGATGCATTTCACTTCAACATTTTAAAAAACATCTTCCCGGGGGTGCATGCCCCCAGACCCCCCTAGAGGAGGTGAGGACCCCCCTAGAAGATGTGAGGACCCCCCTAGAGGATGTGAGGCCCCCCTAGAGGATGTGAGGCCCACCCCCCAATAAAGCAGGTTAAAATAATTAAATTGCATACATTTTCTTTTAGTAAACACTGAAAACGGGTCCCACAGACCCAAACAGCACACAAAGGTTAAAGGTCAGCATATACTAATGTTAAAATGTGATAAATATATACACTGCAAAAAACAAAAAAAAGAGGAGTAAAAGTAGCCCCCGACTTGTTTTATTTTTTTAAAGTAGCCCTCATCCTAAAAAAGGTTGGTGACCCCTGGTTTAGATGGATTTAGGAACATCCCCTCAATTATATTGGCTCTAACGGTTACAAAAAGGTGTCAATCACCCAAATCGACCAATGGGTTCAAGAGGTTAGGCAAATACATCTAAATGATAAATCTCTCTAAAAGGTCAAATGTTACTTGTTTTGCATCAATCTTGATACAGGGTACTTATTATATGTTATAGTTTGGATTCCTAAAGCTTTTAGTCTACTAACCCATCATTCAAGAGTAGTTTTCACGATAAGTAAAACAAAATGGACGGAAACTATAATTTACATTTATTTTACTATGTTCAATCTGAATTTACTATCAAATAAAAACATCTAAATTGATTCTGACTTCTCTACATCCAACTCACAGGTTTATCATTACTTTGAGAAGAAAGATTATTAATTTGCCCCTTTTAGAAGGGAAGATATGGTCATTTGTTCTGGGAATGTCATTTTCGAGCCTGAGACCTGAAAAACAGGCTCGGGGCTTAATAGGTTAACCTGTTGTAGCGTGCATGCGCAGTCTGAAGGTGGTGTTCAACGTGGAGTAAAGATGTGTCCGTCTCCTTAATACACCACAAAATCTAAAATGCAATCTATGATAAAAGTTGATGAAATGATTGTGATTGATTTATGTAAGTATGTTTGAACATTCCATCATTTGTCCAACTCATTTGAAAAAGAACGAAATAGTTTAATATTAAATAACTCGAACTGAGACGCATTTATGTGCTAAATGTGGATGACTTAAGACGTAGGTGTTAAAGGAAAGGAAAGCCAGCATGTGTGTGCTTTAATATAATCAATATTAAATAAACTTAGATTTCCTGTGTTTATTCGTAAATAAGCATCAATTGGTATATAAATATATTATTTCTCACATTAATGAGCTCTGAATGGGGTTTGTCTTCCACCTGCAGGAAGCCCCTTCCAGCTTGTAACCTTTGACCGCCAGCCAAAGAGCTAAACATGAATTTAGTGATGCAGCCTGACTGAAGCTGAGCGACAGCCCTCATCATGTACTTATGGAGCCCAGCTGAGTCTCTAATTATGTCTGTAAAGAAGCCAGCAGCTGCTCCTGCAGAACAGACTCCTGTGTGCACTTACACAAAGGGGCCTGCCTTTTAGCAACAGGCAATAAATGGGCCACCCAAAACAGGGCCCTTAATAAGCAGGTACTCCATGGTGCACCTGTAACATAGGGGACACATGGGGGGGAGGGCATGCCTGCAGGCCTGGTGCTGGGATCAGGGGTCTCAGAGGATAATGATCCCCCCAAACATGAGAACAATGGGGGCAGATCATTCCAGGTTGCTCTGAAGGACACAGGTCGCCTGAAGCTCCTCTTCCTCCCTAATACTTTGTGTGTCAGCCTTCATAAATTAAACAGTTTAAAAGTAGGTTGCTTTGTTCTTTGATACCCAGGAGGAAGGTTTGGATTTAAGAGCAGAGCAGAGATCAGCATCCTCAGTGCATTTCCAGGAAACTAGCTTCTAGGAAAGGTTAAATACAGCACAGGGATGTGCCCGCCACCATTTAGCTTCCATCCCTCTCTCTCTCCCTCGTTAGATTGATGTCCGTTCTTGTGTTCCCTCAACTCCACCATATGCTATCTCTCTCTTCATCTCTCTTCTCTCTCTCTCTCTCTCATCGTCTCTCTCTCTCTCTCGTCTCTCTCTCTCTGTCTCTCTCGATACTCTCATCTCTCTCTCTCTCTCTCTCTCTCCTCTCTCTCTCTCTCTCTCTCTCTCCTCTCCTCTCTCTCTCTCTCAGGACTCTGATGGCAGGGCAGCTAAAGGTGGCCAAAGGACACAGTTGTCTGTTGGCTTTCAGAAGGAAAACATGGAGTTGGTCGCCTGTGTGGTCTGGAGGGGCTGGGGCTGCCGCGAACTGGAGGTCTTCTACCGGTCCTACGAGGAGCTGGGCCGCTTGGAGAGCAGCATGAGGAGAAGAAGGTAGCTGTTGTGCTGCAGAATCGCAGCTCTGTGTGGAGGTGGGCCGAGGGGAATACACGGTGACAGATGGCCAGTGTTCAGAGCAGGGGGCCGGCGAACACTGAAATCAGGGGAACGTAGGGGTGAGGAGTGGGGGGGGGCTGAGTTTCCAGCTGTTCACATACTTATGAACCCATAATAAGTTCAGAACTAAAAGATGTGTGATCCCACAGCAGACCCGAACAGCCCTGCAGTCACAGATCGCAACAAGAGAAAACGGCAAGCTTAAATGTTTTTAGCAAATCAGCTAAACACTGTGGAATGACTGGAATTCACTCCAAGATGTGGTTGTCTGACTCCGGCTGCTGAAATACATCATTTCTTTGTCTTTGTCTTTTATTTGACTATCCCTATGTGCTACTTTATGGGCAGGGCCATTGTTACAGGACCAGTTGAAATGAGTTGGTGCTGGCAGGTTGTAGACGACACTAGTCAGAACACAGCGTTCCTTTCTAACTGCACCATAAACTCTCACCTTTTTGTAAATGAAGCTCTATTCTGGCCGCAGTTTGTTCCTGCACTGTGCCTCAGTAGAACAGGACATCATCTCAAAACTGTCCTCTGGGTTTCTCTTTCGTTGCTCCTACTCCGCCTTTCCTTCACAGCACTCACAGTACCTGAGATTCACACACTGGACACATTTTACATTATGTACTACTTTAATGTTTTGTTTGGATGATGCTACTTTATTAAAACAAGTAAACCTGATGCACTTTGTGTTCCCTGCCTCCGGTGGTATATTGATATGCGATTTTCAAACAAAACTCCAATTGTAAGCAGAGCTGTCACCAGATCAGCGAGAAGGGCTTCGGCTCCCATGAGCTGTCCAGTGGGTATAATATGTCTCTTGGCTGACCTTGTAGTGGTTGATGCTACACTGAAAGAAGCCTTAGCAGAAGTCGTCTGGCCCAACAGCAGCCCTCATTGTGTTTGCCTAGTCTTGCCTTGACATTTGTTTCTCTTTGGGTCTTTTTATATTGTAAAACACACAAGAAATAACAATAATAAGTACAAAAACTTGTGTATGTATATAGGGTTAGTATTTACGAAGAGGACTCTGCTCTCCTGACTGCATGTGCCCATAAAACAATGACCAGTTCAGCCTGTTAGTATTTCCCTTCCATAAAGCTAGGGACCTTCAGGAAAGGTTCAATAATGCAGGGTGTTAGTGTCTCTCATCAGGCCGACTGCCGGCAACAACAGGAAACGTGTCTAATGGCGTCTAAAGCAAGACCTGAAGATTTGGAGGGTCTCATTATAAATCAAACTCTTTCTCTTAAACTGAAAAATGAAGTCATGGTCCAGAACCGTCAGTGGGTCCATCACACCGTCTGTCTGTCAGACTGTCTGTTCCTAAGACTTCCTTAGTCTGCCATTCTTTTTTTTTCAGCTGAAACCTGTAGAAGTGTTTTCATTGACTCAATGACGACCAAAAAGGTTCCGGTTTGTTGCTCAAATGGAAGTGCTTTATCAGTTTGGAATCATATACTTGGTTGAGACATGAAGAATATGTCAGCATAAATGAGGCCACTCCACCCAGCCATATCAATACTCATATTGCCCGAGGCATGGGCCGAGGAGGTGGAGTTGCAGCAATCTTTGACTCAAATGTACTTATCAATACTAAACCAAAATTAAATTATACCTCCTTTGAAAGTCTTACGCATCCGACCTGGAAAACTTTGCAGCCAATCTTATAAGCAGCTAAGCGGCACCTTTTTTTGTTTTTCATTACTCACTGTCTTCCTCTCTCCATGGCAGCTTTCATCTCAATCTGAGGCATATAAACGTTACCTGTTCAGATGGCTAGTGGTTTAAGAATAGTATCCTGGAATGTAAAGGGGCTACAAAATCCAATAAAGAGGAAGAAATGTTTATCATACCTCAAATCACAACAAGCACATATAGCCTTTTTACAAGAGACTCACTTGATCGATTCAGAGGCTGCTAAATTGAAAAGGGACTGGGTGGGTCAAATATACCATAGTTCATATAATAGTAAAAAGCGTGGAGTGGCTATATTGGTGCATAAGAAGTTGAATTTCGTTATTATTAATGAGCAAAAGGTCGAGGATGGAAGAAGGATTTGTTTGGAAGCCAAAATTAACGGAATAAAAGTGAATTTGTGTAACATTTATGCCCCAAATGTGGAAGATCCAGGTTTCTTTCATAACATAAATAAAGTAATGGGGAGCATAGCTGATGGGCATACTGTTATTGCTGGAGATTTTAATCAAGTGTACGGGGTTCTGGATAAAACCACCTTTTCCAATAATGTACAAAAGACAGAATAGCAATCGAGCTTTTGGGGAAG